CTTTTGCTCAAGGCTAGCAATCTACCATTTGAGCCACAGCACCACTTCCAGCTTTATTTCTTTTTATGTGATACTGAGGAATCTAACCCAGGGCTTTGTGCATACTAGCCAAGTACTCTACTACTAAGCCACATTCCCAGCCCTCTTTTTTGTTTTGTTTTGTCAGTTGTGGGGCTTGAACTCGGCCAAGAAGGACCGAGGCTCCTCCTGCCTCTGTATGTCCACTCCCTGAGCTCTGCAGGTCCTTCCTGTTTCCAGTTTGCTTTGGATTTTTTGTTACTTGTGTTAGAGCTATACCCAGTGAACTGAAAAATGGTAGTTTACTAGGGGCATGATAGCATATGCCTGTAACCCCAGCACTTGGAAAATAGGGAAGAGGATTTGAGAATTCAAGGCAAGCCTGGGCTATATCATGAGACCATATCTTAAAAGACAAACAAAAATGTTAATATAGTTGCAAATTTGTTACTGATAATTAGCAGCATATGCTTTATTAAGAGTTGTATTACAGGAACCAAGTATAGTGGCTTATATTTGTAATCCTAGCTACTCAGGAGGCCAAGATTGACAAAGGATAGTGGTTTGATGCTAGAACATTTGAAATTCTCCATCTCAACTAGTAAAAACAGGATGGGTGTACTAGAATATGCCTGTGATCCCAGCGACCCAGGAAGCATCAATAGGATTGCTGTCCCAACAAAAAACGAGACTCTATCCAAAATATGACCAGAGCAAAAAGGGCTGGTAGTGTGGTTCAAGTTTTCTTGCCTGCCTAGCCAGACCAAGGCCTTGAGTTCAAACCCTAGCACCTCCAAAAAATTAAAGGTAAACAAATAAAATGGAGGCTGGGCATGGTGGCTCACCCCTGTAATCTCAGTTACTGGGGAGATAGAAATTGGGAGGATTGATGTTGAAGGCCAGTGATAAGTTAGTGAGCCATCTCTTGCCTCTTATTTGTCATAACAAATAAGCCAGACAAGTATTGTAGTGCACAGCTGAAATTCTAGCTATGCAAGCAGCATAGTTAAGAAGTCAGGCCTGAAAAAAAAGCATAAAATCCTATCTGAAAGATGACTAAAGCAAAAGCTTGGGGGTATGGCCTAAGTAGTAGAGCGGCCTGCCTGGCAAGTGTAAAGCCCTGGGTTCAAACTCTAGTACCACCAAAAGAAGTATCACATAAATTTCAGTGAAGAATGTAGAACATTTAAAAAAGGACATATGGAGCCAGGCGCTGGTGGCTCACACCTGTAATTCTAGCTACTCAGGAGGTTGAGATTTGAGGTTTGTGGTTAGAAGTCAGCCCTGGTAAATCAGTTGTCTCTTTGTGAGCGACCATAGACTGTGTTCACAGTTTCTGTAAATAAAAGATAGAAAAGAACTGAATTCCTGTCTAAGGGTCACTGGAGAGATAAATGACTTCATTCTAACCATAGTCTTCTGTGCATCTGCAGAGGAAGGAGAAGTGTCTTCTGGGTTTGGATTTAAGGCTGAGCCCAGGCCCCTTTCCTAGTGTCCAGTGCAGAGCCAGGCAGGCACTTGTAGGCCTCTGACATTAAAGCAGTTTGCATAGCAGCTTAAAAAAAAAAAAGGCTAGGTATCAGTGGCTCACACCTGTAATCCTAGTTATTCAAGAAGCTGAGATCT